TATGTTGAATACGTTTTTCTTTGTAACAAGAAATATGCCGCTGTTATATACAGTGTTTTAAATGGTATTCTAATTACATATAGCTGCAAAAATAAATGAGGAGCCAATTTAAAATTCCCGTCTATATACCAAGTTTTCGTTTCGGCTAGCATTTTAAGCATATAATCGGTGGCAAATATAATTATCCGTTCATTAGAATCTCCGCCATTATCATGCAAAAGAAATCTCTCATTCGTGGGAGATCCGGTTGTAGCCCAATCCACTAATATTAAAAGATATTTCCAATTAAAAGACATAAATATGATTTAACTTGAAATGCTTAATTCTTCCAATGTGGCCGGAATAGGAGGAAACCTTTTTATTTTGCGATTTCTAAGTGTCCTCTTGATACTCTCTTCATTCGGAAGTCTTTTTCTGGATTCGGGAGACAATTTAGACATTTCTTCTGCATATATTTGGCAAGTCAGAGGCTTTTCTTTTCATCGTGCTTATAGCATTTTCAATTTGATATTCATGTGGATTTATAGGATTAATATGAGGCGTATTTTCCAATGTATAGTCATTTTCATTGTAATATTTCAAAATAACTGGGCATTTTTCAGTATTATATAATGTACATTTATATCTTTTAAAATTTTTCATAGTTTTATGATAATTGTAGGAATATCCCTCATGAAAAATTTTAGCATGCTTATTTAACGGAAAAATAAACATAAAAAATTTATTAAAATTATCAAAAATATTTAAAATAGTAAAAGAAAATTTTATAAAAAGTAATAAAAAAAACTAAATGAAAATCGTTTGTTTCAAAATTACAAAGAATATATCACCCAAATATATAAATTTATTTATTTTTGAGCATAAATTTCCTTTCAACATTATAAATAATAATATAAGAAACTAACTGGGATTATGTAATAACACTTCCGGAGTTGGAAACTTTTAAATAAAAAAGTTTCTATTTTAAGATTATAGTCCCTCATGTGTTTTCTTTAATGAATTAAATATATTAAAAATTATAATATTTATAAAAATAAACAAATATTATTTAGAATAAATAAAATAGTATATTTTTTTGTAATGTTCTACTTGAGATAGTCTTTGAATTAAATAAGCTTTTGTAATCAGTGATTAATATTAATACTTTTTTGAAAATTTATAATCAGATACAATTTTTAAAAATTAACCATAAAAATTTCCATTATGTTATTTTTGTCCGGGATTCAAACTGATATTAGCATACGGAACAGAATAGTGTCATAATATTATTTTAATGTTATATATATTTTAACAGTGGCGTGTTAGAAATAACCACCCCCTCTGCATGGTAAATATAATGTGGTTTAATTACCTGTTTAATATCTATTCAAGTCTAGATGAAAAGTAGATAAGGAAATAACCTTTCTCAGTAAAAATTTGCTTTCACATTTTTCTTTTCAATTCTAAATTACCTCTTTCATAATTTTCATATATTTCTACGGGAATTTTTTTCCGGGTAATTATTTTCCAAGGATTCCGGGGAATTATTTTCGGTGATTTTTTTCCGGGGAATTATTTTCCGCTTACCAGTAAATTTGATCAAACGAATATTTAGTAAGAGGTCGGTTTTGAGCTCGGCAATCAGTCAAATCAAATTATTTTCAAAATATTTTTTAGGATAATGCATAGCACGTAAATATACACGTATAAAACAAAAATTAAGAGATTTTGATTTATAACGCCAGCAATTCAGTATTTAGTCATTGGGTGAGCTACGAGTCGGTTATCCGCCAAATCACGATATTTTAAAAATATTTTTTAGGATTATGTTTTATACGTATTTATAGATATATAAAACGAAAATCAACATTTTTCAAATTATATTACTAGTAAATTTGGTCAATCGAATATTTAGTAAGTGGTCGGTTTTGAGCTCGGCAATCGGTCAAATCAAATTATTTTCAAAAAATTTTTTAGGATAGTGCTTAGCACGTCAATATACACGTATAAAACAAAAATGAAGAGATTTTGATAAATAACGCCAGCAATATTTACTTTAGAAAATTTCCATTGTTTTACTATTCTAAACCTACTCATAAATTAAACATCAAAGAAACCTAAAAAAAATTTTTAATTTTTAGTATATATACCCAAATATAAAAAAAGTGCTATCCAATCATCATTCCGGTTTCCTAAAATGATATATATTAAAACATATAACGCCTTCTTACGGATATATATTTGTTAATTTTTAAAATTAAATAAAATGTACTTTTGTTTTAAAAGCTAGAAAAATATATTTCTTACTAATAATATTAAATAAAAATAAAATTATATACTATATGATTTTTTATTATATTCTTCATCTTCATTTATAATAAAAAAAATGATTTAAGTATATTTTAAGTTTAAAAAATTATCATTAATAAAATATACATAATAAAATTTTGATTTATTTATGATTGATTGCTATTTAGCAATGCAGTTTAGCAATGCATTAGCAATTCAATATATAGTGGGGAAATTTTTTCTGGGAAATTATTTTCCAGGGGAATTTTATTCCTGGGATTTTTTTTCCGGAGAATTATTTTCCGGGTATTTTATTTCCTAGAAATTATTTACCTGAAGATTTTTTTCCAGGAAATTAATTTCCGGGGAATTATTTTCCGCTTACCAGTTTTCGCGATGCCTTATTTATAATATTATTTTTGGTGTAATATATTCGGGATATTGTTTTTGTTAGGGCTGTGCCGATCTATATATTTTTCACTTATCCGATCCGGTATTTTCCGATATTGGTTCAATACCGATCCGATATTTATATTATTTTTACCACCCACTCTTGAACCAAATATAATTAAAAAATTAATATTTTCTAATGAATTTAATTTTATTTATTTTTATTTCTAGAATTAAGACTATTATTTTGAAAAGAATTATATTGTAATAGATAAAAATATATATTTAATAATTATTCATTTTATTATTATGTTGGTATGAATTATAGAATTGTAATATTTAATATATATAATTATTGTATATTCGATTTTTTTAAAATAAATATGAGGACCTTTAGATTTTCTGGCAATAAGCTTCTATGATGTAGCATATCTATATCCCCTGCCGTACTGAAGACAAACTCAGATAGGACACTTGTTGCAAGTTTTGACAAAGTTGCATATTTTTCAGCAGTAATTCTCCAATAATCAAGTGGATCCACAAGGGATATAATATTAATCTTATTAGAGTTATCTAAATAAACACATAAAATTAGCATTTTAAAATAGTGTGTTTCATACAAACCCACCTTTTGTTGGGTTTGAATAATATTCAGATACCGTCTAAACTAATGGGTCAATGATATCCCAACCAAGCAATACTAGATAAAATATGAAAAATATGTTATTATACCATCTAGATATAAAGATTTTTTAAAATATATTTTGATTTTTTCAAGTATAACAGGTCATCTACATTACTATCTAGTTCGATTATTTAATTTGTTACTAGTTTTTCTTTGATTTTCAATTTAAATAAATAAAATTTAGGGGGTTTTGTGCATTTCCATTGTTTTAAAAATAAATAAAAAAATCTTTAGAAATATTATAATAATGTAAAATAAACTATAAATATATAACATAAAATAATAAAAAAATTGTAAAAAGATCGAATCGATTTGTACAGGTATCGGCCCGATTCGATATTTTTTGAAAACGCTAAATATTGGTGGCGGTTCGATCCGATATTTAATGTCGGCATAGCTCTAGTTTTTGTATTAACATATTCGCTATAATGCATTTGCGAAAAGTGAATGTCCGATCAAAATAGGAAAGGTTCTAAAAAGGGAAAATTTCCACTTAAAAAAGGAAATCCTTATTTTTTATATTTTTAAACATATTTAAATGTAATTTTTTAAAATATTACTTTAATTTTTGGTTATTTTTAATTTTCTTTTTAACCTTTTGCGATCTCCTTAATTTATGTCATGTCTTTATTCATATTTGAATTTGAGATATGATTGATCAAAAATGTCAATATATCATAACTCCATCCGAGAGCTAGATAAAAATCGTTTAATAAATTGATACTCATCAATGGTACATTGCATATACCGAATTTAATTCAAGGAAGGTCGTCACGAAAATCTTGAAAGATTTGTCAATTTCATATAGAATGCACCATATATTTTTCAATTATTTAAATAAATTAATGTCTATCAATATATTTTAATTTGTATCTAATGTCTTTTATTTAGTTAACAAACAAATCTTATTTTTTATGACAATATTTTTTAGAATAAAATATTAAAAGTAATTGGAATGATTGTGATTAATTATCTAAATTAATGAGGGCATAAATTACGATGATGATTCATGAATATTTTTTAAATATTTTTATTTGAGTGTTCATTTTTTATATAAAAATGGGTGTGCTAAATATTAAATATAGTTTTAAGCGATTATAAAAATTTAATCGGATTTTAAACGATATTCGGCCGATCATACTTTTTCGAAAATAATCAATACCGGTGTGGATCCGATACATGACTAGTAATAATGCCTTACCCTGCTCAGAATTTAATCGAAATATTATTTTATTACATAATATGAATATGTTTTATTATATTAATAATGTCAGTTTAGCTAATAATTCTACACCACATTCTTATGCTAAATGAAATATACCTTTCACCTATTTTAATTTTTTTTACGGATATAATTCATGTTTTTATTTTATATATGAAATTTTTAGTAATACTCAATTAACCTTTTTCAAAAAATGATCATTTATATAATTTTCTCGATAGTTTTTCAAATTTCTTATTTTAACCTAATAAGTATCCTTTTTTATTATATATTTTAAAAAAGCTTAGGATATACAATAATTAAATTAAATAAAACATTAATTATGTTAAAGTTAAAGAGGCGATAAATGAGCTTAAAGGGAGTTAATTATAATAAATTAGACATTAACTAGATTAGAGATTCACTATTATTAAAAAGGCTAATATATAAACACAGAAGCATTTCAACTACCATAGACCCATTTTGGGACATTTCTCTAGACCTAGGCGAGATCAATTCAACTTATCAAGAATACAAAGCGAATAATCTTTTGAAAGGTATGTAATATTTATAAATTTCGTTATTGTTTTTCAAAAAAATGATATAGATCGAAAATAGGGTTGGCCAATAAAATCAATTTGATTTAAATCAATATATTTAATAAAAATCTATTTACTAAATTTGATCAAATACTTAATATAAGGAAAGATTAGATTATTTTAGAATTAAATAAATTTTATATATAAACTAATACCACAACTATTAATTGTATAATTTAATCTCAATGTATTTAGAAATTATTTAATATTTAAAAAAAATAATTAGCATGTTAAATTCAGGGCTATGAACTCTCCTTCTAAAAAAGGGTTAAGGCTCAGTGAAATATCTCTGAACTCGGTTCGGGTTCAGGGTTTGTAATCCAGAAAAATAAAGACTGATCAAATTTAGTAAAATTAACAGAAACATTAGTTTTTAAAAATTTTATTTTACTATATTTAGCATAAAAATGATTTTATCATTATAATTAGAATACAATACAATTTAAAAATAATAATCTATTTGTTTTTTAATATTATAAGAGAATTATCATGATATCTTCCAAAATCTAGTTAAAATTAAAATAAAGAATTTTTATGCGTAACTTTCACAATGCATTGCAACCTTGCATATACTCAACATTTGTTTTTGAATTAAATTGTTTTAAAGATAACTAGTTTTCTTAAATGGTTCCTAAGTTTGGAATAGTTGTTGATTGTTTTACTATGAATTAAATGGTCCTGCTAACCATCATTCATTTTTTTTTATTATTTTCTCGGAACATTTTATTAAACGGCTTGGAATTTTAGCATGATTTGAAATAATTAGATTGTTTATTTAATTTGTCTAATATTTTTTTATAAACAATTGATTTATCCTCAATAACAATAGTAGTAAAGATATTAAAACCACTATTATTTCATTAGCCAAAAGGATAAAATTTTAAATTTGTAAAAGTTATATTTGGTTTGGATATGCATAATTAGACCTGTGCGCCGACGAAACTATCGGCGGCCGGCGCAATTTTCAAAAATCTAATCGACGGCTGGCGGCGCGCCGATTTTTAGCCGCCGTCAATAAAATCGGCGCAGTTATTAATTTTTATAACATAAATATTTTTAATTGCTTATTAATTTTTTTAAAAAAAAACAAATAAATATACACTAACTATTCTACAGATATCTCGGCATATTTTTTAATAGAAAACTTATTATATCCAAAATCGATTTCGTAATTTTATAATATCACGTATAAAAATTATTTTATTTAAATTTTCGGGACATAATGATGATCTCCTTGAATTTAACGTCAATCCAGCGGTAGAGAAAACTCTTTCACAAAGTGTGCTAGTAGCCGGAATGCAAAGAATTTTTTTGTCGAGCCTATAAAGATTGGGAAGTTCACTCTTCTTTTCTCTCCAAAAATTTAGAACGAGAATGTCGTTTTCCAAGAAAACTGTGGCATTCTTGTTCTAAGTCACCTAACTTGGAATCATAATTTATATTTGTTGAATGTTTATTTGCCAATTTTGTCAAATAACTTGAATTTAATCCTCATTAGCTATATTTACTACCAGATTATCATCATTCTCTATAAGTTTAAGATGTTTTATTATAAATTCTGAAGCTGAGCAATTTTGCTCTATTAAATACTTTGTGTTTTTATGTTTCAGTTAAACGCATCGAACTTTTCAAAAAAATTTCTTTCTTTCGTCACAATTGTCAATTTTTAAAATCTTGGATCTAAAAGAGAAGCTAATACCTAGATAATTTTAAATAAAAAATAAAAGAATATACTTATATAATATTACTTGCAGATTACAAACCAGAAATCGTAACGCAAGTTTTTTTAGTATATTTTCCTTAAGTGAAATAATTTTAGAACTATCACTATCATTTACTATTAAATGTGTTTCAATTTCACATCTAAAAAGTAACGCCAAGTATAAAGTAGGCCCTTTTTGAGAAATTCGACAGTTTCTTAAAATTTTGAAAGAAATGCTAATAGTTCTTCTACCAGATCAGATTCATAATTTGAGAAAGTGCTTTCCAAATTCTTATTAAATCCAGATATGCTTTCTAGCATAATTAATATATTATGCCAACGTGTTGGGCTTGGGACAATTGATTTTAAGGTTTTCATATACTTGGAAATATTGTTATTATTATCATTGGAATTGCCAATTTGAAACGGGTACCCGGGTATGGATCAATGCTGTCAAGGTCTAACATGTCTGATGTTAAATCTATTGTACTTAGACATTTTCTTTGATATTCCTCGAATTCAAATTCAACCTCTGCAGTTTTATATCTTAGAGCAGTAATAATTTCTCTAATTCTTTTGCAAAAAATTTCCAGACTATGGATTTTTTATTATCCAGAGTTAGGATACTAAAATTATTTATAGAATTATTAAATGTAGATACATCCATTTTAAAAATATGTAAAATTATGGTAACTTTTGGAATTTTAGATTTTTGATTGATTCAATTCTATAATGAGTCAATATAATTATGATTTTAAAATAGTAGAAAATAAAAATTCATCAAAATCCTGATTGACATTAAAAAATTACAAGAGTGATGTTGACCAATTATTAGAATAAAAAGGTATAAAATATAAAAGAAATTTTTGCGCCGGCGTGATTTTCTTAAATGGCGGCGTTTTCGGAGTAGCCAAAAAATGGCCGGCCGGCGCACAGGTCTATGCATAATAGTATTCTTTTTAGAAAATGAATTATTTTCTTTTCGACTCACTGATACTAGTTAATTTTAAAATATCGAATTTTTGATTGACCGTTAGCTTTTCATTTGACAAAATATCAAATTAGCTCATGATTATATTTTTTTTTCAACAAATTCCTGACTAGATCTCCTGGAGAATTAACGTTTTACTTACAAAGAAATATTATACTTAGGTAAAAAAAATTATGATGTATATATTTTCAATCTAAATCTATAACTTTATAATTAAAAAAAATCAAGTTATTTGATTTTTCCTAAAACAATTTTTTGCCAACCCTAATCGAAAGTAATCAAAGAAATTACGCAAAAAAGTAAAAATGAACGAAAAAGAGAAGCAAGCCGGAATGACAAAAATGAGGTGTAAGAAATAGAGAAACGAGATCGAAAGAATTACTTTTAATTAATAATTTAAGAAAAAGGAAAGCAAACGAATTAACTAAATAAAGTTTCTATTTAATTGAATATAGATGGGAAACCAAACAGTTCCTCAAATGCTGGTTACGGTCCATATTCACAAGATACCAATATTAAATTCAATCAGTTCGATACATCTTCACTTGAAAAATGCTTATTGAGGTGCATATTTTTTTTCTTATGTAATTCTTTTATATATCTTAAAAATTAATGAAAATTTTACTTTCAGATTAATGTTAAAGGAAAATTGATAAATTTATATTTTTGACTTTCTGCGATTTTATAATACATATGCACACTTAAATAAAGTAGTTATTAAATAATATTTGGCAACCATACAAATAGAAGATAGGTTGCTAAATTAATAGCTTTCTTCCTGAAAAAAAAATATAGGAGTGCAAAACAAAATTCAACCTAAAAATTCGATCGTGATTAAAAGGGTATATCGAAGTATTAATAAGATTGGTAATATGATTTAGTCATCTGCATCGGGCCTAATTGTCCAAACCTGGCCCGATATATTTTTGAAAAATTTTGAGTATTCTTAACAATATTACGAGTTTTATAATCTCGTTGCTTATTAATCTGGGCCCATTATATTTTTGTTGCAACTTTGTGTATGCCTCATATGTTAATGGTTTTATGATAACAGCTTGTTCACTTCTTATCCTTATCAGTGATTGACATCAAGATCTATATCTGTTTCATACTTAAATAATAAAAATAATGTTAATCTTATACAAATAATGATATCACTCATATCTCACAGGCCATACAGATTTTCTGCCAAAAATTATCTCAATAGTGTAAATTATATTCATGGACATGCTTGATGTATTATAGGCAAATAGTATACCAGGTTGAGCTCTTGACCACTCCTGTGTGATTATAATTTTCATCCCTAGTCATTAATTTGACTTTATAAATATAATTATTGTTATTATAAATTTATAATTGGCCCTGCCATACCTGCATAATAACGAATATGAATGTGCCGTTTTATGCTTTAAGGCTGTGTTTCGCCATATTTTGAAAAATAATCAACTGCAATTAATTAAAATCCCATATTACTCTCTAACAAGAAACAGATCTACATCCCTAATTGTTTTATGGAATGAACTACATTTCTAAGCTTGTTTTATCAAATATAGTATTCAATCTTTGACAAAGATAGAAAGATTTAATAAAGTTAACAATACCTTGTCTCATTCCTTGCCATTTATATCTAAATGAGAAATAATTATCTATTCTATTTTTAAGGATTTTAATGCTCTTTAGATGTGCACTAGTGTTGCTAAAGTAACTAGATACATGTATATTTCTTTAAGAATGTACAAAGTTAATTTGTTAAAAATTTTAAAGATTTTTTTTAAGTATAAATTTTAATCCGTTCAATCTTTCCAATAGTTTACAATCCAATATATTTTAACATAATTTATTAGTAACATAAGAATTAATATTAAAACTCATTTTATCTATACCTTTCAACAAGTTTAGCATATGTTTTATCCACCCAAAATTGCATGCTAATGACATTTCTGTCATATTTATCTCACATCTACATGAATCAAGCTTAAAAGTTGCTGTTGCTGATTTTGGAGTCAAATCATTTCAGAATTATGTAGGTATCTCAAATTTCTTTTACCATATTCTCCAACCCAGTTGGATGGATATTTATTATTCGACATGGTAATTTGATTTTAGTCTTTTACACAGAAACCTGCAGAGGTATCATTTGCTTGGCCCGAATTTTCTTTTAATTCGGCCCGGCCTGGACTTGGTTTTATATTTTCAGGCCCAGCCCGAATTTTTTAAAAATTTATTATTTTTAATTTTTTTTGTTTTTAAGCCTGGTCCGTGTATTTTTTTAAATATTTTAGGTCCAGCCCGAGTATATTTAAAATTAAAATAGGCCGGGCCTGCATGTCTCTGCTTTAAATTTACAATTAAGGTTTAAATAGAATTGATTTATCATTATCTTTATCTCTACTTTATTGGCCTTTTTTAATTCTCAATTAGAAAAAATATTTTATTTTTTAAATTTGCATAGTTGTTATTTTTAAATTGATCTAGATATAGATACATCGTCTAAAAAGTCATCTAGATACAGATACAATTTTATTACACTCTTATATAAGGTTTACATAAACCTAAATTAGAATTTTATTGCGAAAATTCATGAAATGAGCCAAAAAATATATTGACGCGATATCACATTTATCAAAATATAACTAAAATAATAATTTTTAGATTTTAATATAAAATAATATAAGAAATATATGTTTAAATGATTATAAATAATTATTAGATTTCAGTAATAAAATATTTTCAAAATTTCGGTCATGGCATCCTCGTTTATCTGTAAGGGCATTTTTTAGCTACACTAAAAAGTCTTTCTACCGGGGCACATGAAGGAGTGGTGTTACATTTTATGAATACCAATTTTATATTAGGATATTCTTTAATAATACTAAAATCTCGACATTCATTTTTGAAAAAATTATTTAAAATGTGTTGAGTATGAAAATTTAAACCATTACTAACAATCATATCTGCTGCCATGGGTTACTGAAAAAAATCGGATATTATATTATTTGTTTTTTTTTCACAGGCTATTTGTTTGCAATCGACCTTGATAATTCCTCAACTATTCTTTGTATTAATTGTTTTTATTAAAATTTTTATTCATTTGTAACCATGTCTGTTTACTTCTGAGAATTGGTGCTTCTGATTGCGAATTAGCTAGCATTATTTTTTTTGTGTTTTATTTACGAATCGATTTAATTTTATACTAAAAAAATATACAAATTTCATCTATTTATAATGTCATTAACAAAACAAAAACAAGTAAAATAATTAAAATTTTTAATGTTATTACCAAAACAAAACATAGTTTAAAGGAGAATTATAAATTACAACTACTTAACAATGTCCAATCAAGTTTAAAAGAAGGATGGAACATAGTTGCTAATATTGTCCTAATAAACCTAGAATTATTAAATATTGATGTGGTAAACAAAATCTCATACTCATTTGTTTAAAATTCCTCAATTTGATAATCTATTTTAAAATGGTTGAACAGTAATAAGCTGTGTACATATATTTATCTTCCTACAAAATATCTAGCAAAAATTGAAAATGCCTGAATGCCAGTTATAATAAACGCAGTTATTAAATCATCTAAAGTAGTTTGGGTTAAAGTATGAGGTCTCTTGGCAAAATATAAGTGGACGAGCCTAGTCCAATATTTTCTTTAATAGATTTATTCTCCTTTCCCTTTTTTATTTTTATTAACAGTGTTTGATGTTTTCTCTTAAGATTACAATTGTAAACATTTATTTAGTATCTCTACCCTTAGATGTTTTACAATGTTGCAAGTTGAGGTAATGCTAACTGAAATTTTCGTATTTTTTGGTAGCCATGGCAAACGTTTTAATCAGATATTTATTTTTAGATTATTTTAAAATATGCTTTACAAATTGGCCATGGAAAAACAATATCTGAAATTGTTGATGCTTCATTGATTATTACTTCTTCCTCTTCTTTAATATTATTATTTATTTATTTTTTCTCTTTAGCTTTCACCTTTTCTGGTGGTAAGCTCCTTCAACATCTCTCTCCACTTTATGTTATTCGTACAATCTCTTTTATCTATTTTATACTTCTTTATATTGGCTCTAACTTTATGGCCCCATTGAAGTTTTGGCCTTCCTCTTTTACGTTTGCCCATCACTTTCAACTTTATTTCCTATGTAGTTCATAGGCCTTCTCATTGTGTGCCCATACCATCTAAGTCTGTTTACCATTAACTTAGTTTTAATGGGCACTACCTTTAAACTATTTAGTATTCTTGTACTGCGCACCTTATCCTTTCTTGTTACCCCAGCAATCATCCTCAGCATTCTCATCTCCATAGTTTGTAGACTTCTCTCGTCTGATTCTTTGGTTGGCCATGTTTCCGAACTATATAGAATAGTTGGTTGTACTATGGAACTGTAAATTTTTCCCTTTAATTTGTGTGGGATTCTTTTGTCAAATAGCACTCCAGATAAAGATCTCCACTTTAACCACCCTTGATTAATCTTATTCTTTATCTCTTTTTCTATTGTGCCGTTTGTTTGTATAGTGGAGCCCAAATATTTGCAGCTTTCAATTGCGGATATCTGCCAATCATTTATATCAATACTCTCCGTTTCATCTCCTCCTATCACCATATACTCCGTCTTTTCTCTATTTACTTTTAATCCATGCGTTTCTAGGATATTTATCCAATTCACTAACCTTTCTTTCATTTCATCCTTGGATTCGGCAAGTATTACAATATCATCTGCAAATATCATATTCCACGGGACTGTTTGAGGTATAGACTGTGCTAATACATCTATTACTGTAATGAAGAGAAGTGGGCTGAGAGCCGACCCTTGATGAACTCCTTCGGCTATTGTGAAGCCTGCTGAAGTACCTGTTGTGCTACGGACCATTGTTGTATGTCCCATATACATATCCTCTATTATTCTTATATATTTTTCGGGAACTTTTTTGTGGCGTAGCGCCCACCAGATAAGTTTTCTTGGGATTCTATCGAAGGCCTTTTCTAGATCGAGAAAGACCATGTGTAGCTTTTTGTTCTTTTCCCTGTATTTTTCACTCATTTGCCTAATTGCATGGATAGCATCGGTTGTTGATCTTCCAGGCATAAAGCCAAACTGTGTCTCTCCTATTTCGATTATATCTCTTAATCTTTTTTCTATTATTTTTTCGTATAGTTTTAGACAGTGTGACATTAGTTTTATGCCCCTGTAATTTTGACAATTGTGTGGATCCCCTTTATTTTTGAAGATAGGAACTAGATAGCTCTGCCTCCATTTTTGGGGGACCTCTTCATTTCCAAGTATTTTATTGTACAGATTTGTGAGGAGATGTATTCCATCATCTCCTAGTGCTTTAAGGCTTTCTATTGGAATATCGTCTGGACCCCTAGCTTTGTTGTTTTTCATATGCTTGAGGCATGTGATTATTTCTTGTTCTGTTATAGGTTGTACAAGGTTTTGACAAGGGGAGTGTTCGTCGAGATGCAATATGTGGGAATTAAAGTTGAGAAGCTCCTGAAAATATTCTTTCCATCTATTCATTATTTCTTTTTCCTTTATTATCAATTTCCC